TGTATTTGTCTAGGATTATTTAAAGACCAATGTCGCGTATTATAACCCTTTCTTGTAGTGAACGAACTTTCATCAGTTTATAAAATGCTTTTCAAATAATTATTATTCTCATTATGCCCATTTCAAAAATCCAAACTAAACTGCATCCTCCTTTGACATTGTTCTACACTCAGTTTTTGAGTTTTGCGAAATTTAAATGCATTATATTTATATTCTTTCAAAACTGTCTCTTCATAATAGAAATAGAGGAAACTGTATGTGCTTCATAGAATCATAATATGATCGCCTTATTTTCTTCATTTAAAACATAATTCCGGCATACCTTTTTAGCATTTGACATGATACCGTTTTCTGCTAATGTCTTTGCCAGCTTTGGAAATATCTGCCCAATATACTGATGACGAGCTGCGGGTGCTCTTTTATTATTCAGAAAGTGTATTTGAAGCCTATCACTCCTACCACCGATGCTAAATTCGCAACGTTGTTTACTAATATGTCAAACATAAACATATTTTTATTGCAGTTAGGACACTCTTTGAAATTATATAAAAATTTCCTATTTTTCCGATTTGTCGAATACGAGTGGACTAAAATATAAAGTGTGTTACATCCATATAGCTATAAGATAATATATATTACGGTAAAAATTGTTGCGCCGCAGATGGCTATGATATTTTCGTAAAGAGGGTATGGATCTTTTGCGCATGCGTGACGCCCCAATTGACTGAGTTGCTACATTACCGTAATTTTTCTGGAAAATTCCGTATATAGTTGGCAACGCCGAGCTAAGTAATTAATATTGTCGCAGAACAGTCTGTGCCCTGTGCCATTGCTGTTTTAAATTTTGGTTTCAATATATCCTACCTAAAGAGTATAATAGATGAAGGGAAGGTCGTGTATATTGTTACAAATGCCATCTATTATTTGTGTCCAAGTACTAAAATACTGTCATGGCGTTTTAAAGTAATGCGTCACACTGAAAATACTACAGTAACTTGTACCGGATAACAGAACTTTATTTATATTTTAATAAAACATTTTAAAACATAAATTTGTTCGACATATTTTTTTTTCACTTTTTACCTTTCAAACTTTAAATTGAATTGAACCGTACGTCCCGCGCATTTTTCGTTTTCATGACTGGACCCAATCACTAGAGAGCGTTGACACTCGTGTACGCTTTTTAACTTTGCCACTAATGGGAGCCTTCCCCTCTATCTTATACTCTTTGATTCTACCCGTACTCACAAACTTGTATAGTTTGTGCTTTCAATACTTTGTTCTTTCACGAAATGACAGCAAATGTGGCAAATATGAGAAACTAATAGGATATTAAGGAAAGAGTGATGCCTATATATTTGACACTTAAAAAGATGGAAAATAGACTTGCTAAAATTTACTAAACATAATGCCCTACATTTTTAGAAGCAATTAAATAGCTACGAAGGATGTTTGGGTAATATGTTTTAGTGCACAAGAACTACAGGAAATATAATAAATGAAGCTACAAGTTGAATTTTTACTAGAATAAGCATAATTACAATTACTGCCTGTGGGAGTTGCTTCTTGAACATTATTTCACTTAGATGTTTCATGTGCGATATCTAGCATCTCGAAAGTTATTTCGATGAAGGTTAAACCTACGAGTTTATGAAATCTAACGCTTTGCGCAGTTTTACAAAAAAAAACAGCTTACATAAAAAAATACATATAGAAATTGCACAGTATCTACAGGGTTTGAACAAAAACGCCAAATTAATTACAGAATTATACAGACGCTGACGTGGGTGTTGCAACTCGGCACTGCTTTTCCAGACCTTAACTCCTTTTTTGCCTGAAAATTTAATAGAATTTCGACATATTTTGAGAAAATACTGCCGGAAAAATGCCGCATCCAAACATCGACGATCTGTCAGCGGTCATGTTGTTTTGTGGAAAGCTCCAAGGTCTTATGGCTCCTGCGTCAAAATTTGTCATTCGAGGATGTGCATGTTGAATGTACCTTCTCAAAAAAAATTTACATAGTTGCTTCATGAGTTTCTGTACTGTCAGATTAGGCACGGCCTCTATATGTCTAGCAGCTATATGGTAACATCACTGTAATCGGAATAAGATATTCTATACTGCGTGTGCCATTAAAAAAATATATGATGTAGGCTTATACAACAGAAAATTGATAGTGTTTTGTTTTATACGTCACATGGAAAAAATTTTGCCTACTAATCTTACATTTTTTTTTTTTTGGTAACCTTGATATCTCGAAAAACAAAAAAGTTACACCCAATTAAAATGTTATCAAGATAAATTAAACGCGCGATACATGGACCTACCATTGCAAAATGATTTAATATTACAATAATGTGTATTGTATTTGCTTACGTTCAAGTAATTTGAATTTAAAATGTAGTTACCTCGAGATAAACTCAGTTCTATATTAACGCATCTCTCTAGGTAACGCGGCTACCGGCGTTTTCTCGAATTGTACCAGCCTCTATCAATCGCTCGAACAGGCAGGTTCAGAAACGGGCGATAGAGTTTGGAGGTTGCCGTTGTGGAAGCACTACACGAAACAAATAAGCGAAAACGCCGCTTACGACCTGAACAACATAGGGAACGCCAAGGGCGGCGGGAGCTGTACGGCCGCAGCGTTTTTAAAGGAATTCGTTCCAAAAGACGCTAAATGGCTGCACTTGGACATTGCCGGAGTCATGGGCCCCAACGACAGTTCTCCCTACTTGAGCAAAGGCATGACCGGCCGCCCCACTCGAACTCTTATCAATTTCGTCGAACGGCAATCGAAATAATGTTTTTTTTTTTACGATTAAGTTACAAATAAAAGATTTTTTCTATTATTAACCTTATTTTATTAGTGTTTCATATCACAATTTTGAAATTCGGTAACGTTACAAGTAAAACAAAACTTAAATCCGATGCCGGTCAACCTCTGAATACGTTCGACATCAGAGGCCGACTATATTCCTCTTGCACTATATTTTTTATATAAAAACAAGACGGTAATTTACTTATACGTAATTCCACAGAGCGCCAAGATTTCGGTAGTTTAATAGTTAAACAAAATCACAGGATAATAATTTTTCATATTGCTAGTACGAGTGTTTAGCTTATTTAAAATACATAGGTACAATGTTTTTATAACAGTATGGTGATATTATATACCTTTTTGCTTATTAATACATAGACATATCCAAAAGAAAATACATAATAACAATGATGGATTGTAAACCCTCTTGCATTAATATAAGAAACAGATACGCATAGTCACACGGTGGCCCTGCTGATCTTGCCAAACATAAATAACTTTAATTTAAACTATTCCTCTATCAGAAAATGTAATTTGTTTACCAGAAAACAAACTTTTTAATAACTAACTAAATATTACAGTTCATTTTACCATTTTATACGCATCATTTCCTAAATTGTTAGACATTCCATGAATCTCCAGGTAGATGGAGTTCGAGTCATATAAATTCAAATTCAATTCGTTAAATTTTAAAGACAAAATAAGAATTTATTCTCGGCTATTGCGGTCTAATACAAGAAAATTTTTGGTAACTGTTATTAAAATGTCAGGTCTTTTTATTTCTATCCTTCGAAGCTCGCACACCTTGTACCTTCGAAACCAAGATGGTGTGTTTATGGATTAGTCTGTTTTATGAAAAATATATCGCTAAAATCATCAGACAGTAATTTCTTTGACCTGATCTCATTATTCGTCAAAATAGGCAAACAATTGAGGGAAATAAAAACGTTCTGATTGAAGGCCTTAAACATTAATAATTTTTTGTTTCAATTTAATTTTGCAACAAAAATGTTTCCTAATATTTCTATAAAATATTTTTTTCAAAAGGAGAGTGAAGTTTTGGTTTCTCACATAATTTTTTCCACTAAATGAATCAAATCGTATCTATATCATTAACAATTATTAAATCAGGACAATCACTAAAAATATGTTAAAAATAACAATTAGGTTGTTTCACTATTGAAAAATATTTGTTTACAATGTTTTACACATTAGAATCTATTTACAACTATTCTTCGTTACCCTTTCCATATGCGAAACGCTAATGGAAACGAAAAATTTCAAGGTCATAGAGGGCCAACGCGGGGAAAGTTATAACCAGATAGATAGGTGGGTAGATACAAATTCGTCTATATTAACAAATATAATATCTTATAAAAATTATAAAATATTGTACATAAATAATTTTCAACATAATTGATATTTTTAATAGAATATTATGCAACAAGTGCGGTAAACGTCATTTGACTCACGAGTTTGACACGAGCGGAGCGAGTTTTTAATAAACGAGTGAGTTAGAAACTTTACCGAACGTGTTGCATACTATACTTTTTCTACGACCGTTAGTTTTTGGGTACTTTTTCGCAAAACAACACGAATACGTTCACTGACATGACCTTCAGAATTAACAACCATCAAAATTCAAAGCGTCGAAAACATGCGATTGCTCCCAAATTCGTGCGGTAAAATCCCGGATATGTCCGAAGTGGCTCGGATTCATGGCAAACGGAACTGAAGTGGTAAAGTGACACTTCCCGCACGCTAGATCGGTTGGTAATTAGGTATTTTACAGACGGGAGTAGAAAAAATTATTTTTAGTGATTGTATTGATGATTAAAATGAATTTAATTCATTGAATGCAATGCAATGCAAAAAACTACGTGATAAGCATTTTTTCTTCAAGTTCAATGGTGGATAGCTTTTTAACTTTTAAATTTTTAATTATTAAGAAACTTTTGTTGCAGTGCATTAAATTGTCGTTTAAAATCAATATTGTTCCTTTTTGTATATTGAATTGATTTTCATCATTCCCAGTGACTTTATCAATATATTTTTAATAAAAACCATGGTGGATTTTGACCAGTCTAATGTTTATACTGACGTTTCTTACAAAATGGTTTCCTATCAACTGTTAAGATTTTGTTACCAAAAAGTTGGTTCATCCTGTATACACACGCTGCAATAAGTAAGTAAAAAGTATTTAGGATTCAGAATATTTATTTGTTATAGTTAATTTTCTATCAAAATTGCTACAAACACAACATATCTTTTAAATTAACCAATTAATTTGTAAAAGTAGCAGTTGTTATTTTACGTAGTATCTTGTTTTGTGCTACATTCATTCTTTAAACCAAAATAAACAATAAATCATATAGTTTAACATCATCAGCTTTTGAGTACTCTTGTCAATTTAGAGGAACTTGAGTTCAGAACGAAGGGAATAAATACAAGATGTAAGACAAAAAACATACAACTTTTATATAACTATATAAATATTTTCGTGAGGATAATATATTTCGGGATATCATCCGCGTTATTTTTTTTATTTATTGTGAATACATATTGTATAACCTCATGGACTCTACTACTGTTAAAACTTAAATTCTGCTTTTTTTTTTTTATTAACACTCTTTGGTCAGTTGGTTCGTTTTAACAATCGCTAAAACGCAATATCCACTCATTATTAATCTCTCCTTAAATATTTGCGCTTTTAGCAAATCAGGAATGTAACAATAAAAAGTCACTTAAATGATTGACAAAATGATAATAAGAAATCAATGGTAAAACAAGAACAAAGAAATAAAATTATTATCCAATTAACATCCAACAATTCCAATTTTTTGAAAATCAAAATTTGCTTTCATTATCACGGTAATTTTAAAATAACGGTTTCTGAAGTTTTGTTAGGTTAGGTACTTGCCAAGTGACGTAAATTATCAACCTGTATATATCTGTCCTTATTTACTTAATCAAAAAGGTTTACATTCCCCATAAAAAATAAACACCAGATCTTTGTAACAACAATTAAAAAATCAATTTAATTAATTTTCTTCCGGGTATCTAGAACAATGATCAAACAAGCAACAAGAAAAGAATTAAAGCTATTAAAATGGGCCAATCACGGTGTGCCAACACATCAAACGAAGAAACAAAGACTCCAAGTTTATGAAAAAAAAAAGTGATACAAACCAATAAAAAAAGGTATTAAACATAATTTATTAGTTCTAAAACCATTTTTCATTTTGCTAAACTACTATTTATTAAAGTTGAATTTTCGGATTTGTTGCATGAAACTTTATGACTAGATTACAAAATCTTTAGGCCTCATTCTTTCCCAGCATTATTGCAATTGATAATCCCTATTAACCTGTAACATTTTTGTCAATGACCTTGTCTGACTAGCATATCAATTAACGAAAAGCAACAAATCTGAAAACAATAGAACCTACTCTCCTAAACATAAATATTTAATGTCCCCATTAATGTTGGAATGTTAATTTACAAAAAAAATCTGTTCTGCATCTATCCACTTCTAATCTACTTATACAGATATCTTCAACAAAACAACTTACTGTGAGATGAAGGCAATTTACATTGCACATTCTTAGTTTACTTAGAAGTGGATCCAGAACAGTCCCAAGCTGACCAAACCTGTATTGTTACAGCGGGCACCCTATACTGGCCGGGAGAGGGTTTAAGGGGATATGTAGTCCGGCAAGGCCCCGCGACCACGCCCTCTGCCTCTTCCCCTTCCCCTGCCACGCCCTCTCCCGCGTCCGCGTCACCTCCTGCCATCTGTCATACCTGAATTTGGGTGTCAGGAATGAAATACAAAAAAAAAAATTAACTAATGCGCTCACCTATATTACTCGTAGTTTTCTCAAGGTAAGCCAGTGGGCCCTGGAGGACACCCCCGGGGCCCTGTTGCGGAAAAGGGCTACCCCTTGCACTGGCCATGCCCTGTTGCATAAACATTGCCTGCTGAGGAGAAAGCATACCGGGAACGACAGCGCCCCCTCCGCTTAAACCAGGAGGGACCTTAACAAATATAGCAAATATATGAATAATAGGGAAATGTGAGGCAAAATGAGTATTTTTTCAAATTGTATAAATAAAGCCGAAAACAAAAGAAGTTGTTTGTATATTTGTCAACCAACCCTCCTGGTCTACTATTTCGCCAAATAAAACCAATATTACTTTTTGAAAAATTTATTTCAAAATAAAAACTAATTATTTACAGTACAAGTATAGTTGATTATTAAAAGTTTTGCAACGGAATTGATGTGACACTTGAAAATGAGAAACCAATTTAATTAAAGGCACATTTGAGCAAGTTTAACAATGTATACTACACGTTTATAGTACATTTTTTTAAGCTACATTGTACAGTATCACATTTATTTGACTTTTTAAATGATTCTGTGAAAATATTGCCGAATATTTTTCTCTAAAAAAATAAACCCTGAGAGTCAGTATACAAATATACAGTGTCAGGCAAGAAAAACATACGAAACCAACACAAATTGTAAAATCATCTTGTGTTTAATTAAAAAAGGTAATCACTCTCAGATGTTTTAAAATATGTAAATAAAATTGGATAGAAACAATGGAAATCAGATCAGTTCTTTAGCAATATTTTACAAGAAGTTCAGGAATGAAATTTACCGCTATTCGGACTGTATTGTAATAAGTTTTAAAGCTATACGTATACCAACGATTTTTTTCACCTTTAAATTTCTAAACAGGCAATAACTAATCAATTAACTTGAAAAATGGAGATTCATCTGTTGAATGTCCGTTTATGGCACAGTTACAATGCTAAGAAACCTTATACTAACAAAGATAGAGAGAAAATCTGTCTAACATCACACTTTGCCAAACAAAAGTTACATAAAATCTGCAACTTCTGTAACATGTAAAAAGTATAACATACAACATAGGATAAATTCCTCAGCAGCTGACCATAATAATAATTATTTAAAAAAAAAAATGAATTTATTGATCAATTACCAGGTATTTGTCGGTAATATATGAAAATAAAGACTTTATGATTAAGACAAAGTGATTTGTTTTATATGTTAATTTAAGCCAAATTGACGAAATTATCCTATAACCCATATTTCTTCCTAAATAAAGTGGAGGATGTTCGGGGTAAACATCTCTCATAAATAAATTGTCCAGCTCATCCAAAATGATTGTGTGATGCGTCGGTTACTATAAATTAATGTTTAATTTATTAAACAAGTATACCTAGTATTCGTTTCTAACTAAATTCGTCGCTATAAAATGTCTTGTAACCAATATAATGATGGGTCTACCATAACTTTCAAAAAAATAAGCTACACAATTTATCGTCGATCTACCTGCATTTGCTGCATCTGTTGCATTTGCTGCTGTTGGATTTGGATCTGCTGTTGTTGCATTTGCTGGAGCTGTTGTTGCTGCAACTGCATGGCTGTCGGCATACTGGACATTATTTGGTTCGGAGTCTGGTTACCAGGAATGGAAGGCAAAGGGGATGGAGGAACTGAGCCACCACCGGGGGTTGCATTACCAGTTTGGGCAGGGCTTTTTGCATAACTATGCAAATCAGCTAATAGATTTTGCCACACCGCAATCTTCTCATAATGTCTCTTAAGTAATTCTTCTTTCCTTGCCAATTCTAGTCTTAGCTCGCTGACATCTTCCTTTACGTTCATTTCTGGCTTGAGCGCAGACAGAAGAAAACGTTTTTGCAGGAAAAATGCCTCCATTTGTCTCGCTAAATCAATGAAACGGAGTGTGGTTTGTTCAACTTCTACTTTAATTTCTTCCTTGTCAGTTGCAGGTATAGCTTCTTCTTTGGTTAGAACATTTAAACATGACTGTAAATAAAACACATTTAAATTACTCCGCAATAACAGATATGAAACCACATACCTGGAAGGCTTCTTCAAATTCATCAACTAAATTTCCACTACTATTTGTTGGTGTAGCCATTGCTGATACAGGTGGAGAAGTTTCCTTCAGTTGATTCATAAGAAATAAAAAGACCAAATCTACTGGAAATTAGCGATTTTGGTAACTTAAAAGTGATTTTCGAAATATGCTAAATAAGTCGGAAATTTTCAATGCTTGATTGTGATTTCATTATTATGGGACACATTTTTCGATTTAATCAAATTTATCTAAAAGCGTAACACCCACTTTTGTTATTGCACTTCTCCGTGAAGAACGTGAAAACTTTCCAGGTTCCTAATCTGCCAACTATCGATTAAATAAAAACGATGAAGTATATAAAAAATGATAGAGATAGAAAATAATATATGCCCACAGTTGGGTAAAGTGATAAGATCATTCGCCCAGTGTACGCCAGCCTGAGTGGACATAGTTCGACCTACAAAGGTTACGGTCCATTCTAGCCTCTAGATATTTCCAAGCGTCATGAGTTTTTTCCTAAATGAATTAGAAATATGACCATCTAGAAGGGAGAAACAGGTGAACATATGTAGTCAGTTAAATTACTTTGCAGCCAGCGCCCTAAGAAGGAAACCATAGAAAAAAATTTAAGCCATTACCCAACTGACCATTATCTATCTATCAAAGAATTTGCTGTTGTTGGCTGTGATGAAACTTAAAAGTTATCGGAAATGTTTTTTGAATTCAACGTATATTAAAAAATTTTTACTGTATAATGGATAAACCTGAAATAACAACTTTGGCACTTGCAAGGTAGTGATAAGGACAATGAAAGTTAGGGAAATAGATAATCAAAGGTTTTGCGAACGTTTTTCAGAAGTCTCAATTGCATTGAAACCATATTTGCGGAAAACAAGGCGTTAAGACGCGAGAAACAGTTCTTCGACTATTTAATGGTATTAGATTTTGAAGCAACTTGTTGGAACAAAACCGATTATGATAAAGGACAATCAGAAATAATTGAGTTCCCCTGTGTATTGTATGATGTAGTGAATGACAAAGTGATCTCAGAGTTCCAACAGTATGTTATGCCAACCGAAAGACAAAAACTAAGTACTTTCTGTACAGAGTTGACTGGTAATATTGTAATCCACAGTTTAACATTATTATTATTGTAAACTTTTTTCTTAGGTATACAACAAACACAAGTCGATAATGGCGTTCCTTTGAAAACATGTCTCGTATTATTCCATAGATGGTTGAATCAACAAATTTTAAAGTACAACATATCCCTGAAATTTCCCACATCATTTTGTAAAACTTGTGTATTTGCAACATGGTCTGATTGGGATTTGGGAAATTGTCTTAAAAATGAATGTAGAAGAAAAGGCATTATCAGACATGATATGTTCAATAGATGGATTGATGTTCGAAGTCTATATGTCGTAAGAATAGTAATATTTATTACATATATATATATAAAAAAAACTTATTTAAGGAACATTACAATGTGAAACCAAAGGGTCTTTTGGGGGCTTTAAACGAAGTTGGACTAACATTTGAAGGAACTCAACATTGTGGCTTACATGATGCTAGAAATACTGCCAAGTTAATAGGCAAAATGGTGAATGATGGGGTAGGGTTAAGAATAACAAAAGACATATCAAATAAATAAATATTTTGTTGAATAATATTAAATATTTTCCATATTTGACTCTTTGAATGTTTAGAAGTTTTCTACTTATCTTAAATTTTGTCTTTCCGGTGTACCTTAAGTTACTGTAATTGAACTCTTTCTTCTGGATAATTTAAGTTACAGTCCACAAGGGGTAGGCAAAGAATTGTATAGGACCCGGATTTTTGTAAAATTGTCTTGTTCAATGACGCCATTGATAAAATTCTAAATAAAGTTGTCCATCATATCTTTTGAAGTAAATATTTATTAAAAAATAAGGTAACCAGCCTTCCTCCACTAATATAATGAAGACTTTTTATACAGTTTAATTTAAAAAAAATAGAGTGGACATTTGGAACTATTGAACATTTTTATATTTTTCTCACCGAAATCGAAGTGGCACTATATTTTCCATCTATTTCCAAATCCAAATGACCTTTACTCATTTGACTTTGGCAAAGGTGATCTCGGTTACCTAGCGATAGCTCCATCAGTGAAGTGCACTGTCATATTGGAGATTTGTTGGTATTGGCCCTTCTTTCATCTTTTATATTCGTAACATGATTCAGTAAACAATTCTGAGTAGTTTTTCCGCGTTTCTAAAGAGGTGAATTAATAGAGAATTACAAAATGTTGCAGGGCAGGTATCCTGGGTGTTTATTTTGTGCTTTTGATTTTGAAAAGGGAATGGTTTTGTTCTGGTTACAATACACAATCATTACCTTGTATCTGCCCCACTAGAGCACTTAAATTTTAGGGCAAAGCTTCAGGCCGTGAAGTGGTGTACACTGTGTTTACTTTTTTTTAATTAATATAAAATATCTAAATCCATCAGCTCTAGATATATATAGATAGATTTTCAGTTTCTCTGCCTTATTTTTTTGCCATTGAATGTACAGGGTTATTTATATTATTTAAAATTATAGCAGTTTTTTTTTTGTCACAAATCGGAAAAATAGTTTTGATGCCTTGTTAACCTAAAATCGACCCTCTAATATCAGCTGTGATAACACCATAACAGCGTTGACATTTATTGGGTTGGCGAAATAAACGTCACTATATTTGTTCCCAGAATTGCAACTTGCAGGTGGGAAAAACTGCACCGACCGGTAAGTTTGATAAGTCCTTTGCAAAAATCTTATCAGCTGGCTGCTGCGCATTCCCCTGGTCAATATTTCTTGGGCTTTATGAGGCGTGTCAAACTGCCTTATTAAATCTCAAAATGCCAGTGTTTAAAATGTACCGCAAACATCCGATTGCTCGCACAGGCCACAGAATAGACAGGGTTTGCATAACCTAAAAGTAAAGGTAAAACTCGTCAAAATAAATAAGAACTAAAAGTTCAGATTTTCACGAAATTATATATTATGACATGACAATCGTTTCGACAACACCGTGTCTTGATAAAGACACGGTGTTGTCTTTATGTGTTGTTCACCAAGTAAAAGCCACCTCAGTTCAATTTTAGTAAAACTCGTCGATGTAGTGGGGAATGCATTTCAATACATTTTAAGTTACGGCCACCTAGTTGTCGTGTGTAAGTAAAGCCTTTACTACGCTGTAAAAATGTACCTCAAAGTATCTGAAGATTTAAGATATTGCCGGTCTAATCGGTACCAGTGCCGCTACCTACCTATATAGGCAAGCATCTTGATTTTTTCTTGAAATGTGCAGTCATAAACTTTTCATGATGAATAGCTTTGCCAATAATAATAAACTTAAAACTGCTGCTACTGACCACAGTGCTACTCAAGGCGGTTTGGGTACAAATAAAACCAGGGAATGTTTTAATTTAAAATTTAATTTGACATAATATTAGGTAGCTGATTGGGACTGAACACATATTTCGACAGTAAAACTGCAACTTGTAGGTACTATAATCAATACTTATTTCATGTCTTCAACAGTGGTACACTGGGTTTCCAAAAAAATGTCTTTATACTTAACAGATTAGGTGTACTTTATACATGGCAAGTTTATTACAAACAAACTACCTTACTCTATTTTGAGCCAGAATAGAGTAAGGTATATTAAACATCTCCATCTTTAACGAGCTATAGTTTTGGGATTTAGAAAACATATTTCAATGCCTCCTTCGTTGGCAGCGTGAAAATAGACAGTTGTGAAGTGAAGTTTTAGCAAAAAAGTGTACGATTAACATATTAAGAAACATGTTTTTTAAATGCCATTTACTCTAGGCTAACAAACACAGAATAAGGAATTGTAATTTTGATGTCTCACTTATTATCGTTACTTTGAATTTAATTTAGTTATTAAACGCGTTAGTAGGAAGGAGTATCGCAGATGTATCTAACGGAGACATAGAGTTAGAAGCGGTTAGAATAACATAAAACCAAGACATATATCGCTAAACATTAGCTTTTGGTTTATATCTACATAACAAATCTCGCTTTTGTTGCAAAAACTTTTAGAGTAGTAGTTGTAGTAGTAGAAGTATCCAACTCAAACTCGTAGAGCCGGATGTTGGCTCCTGTTTTTCCACGTAACTATTGCAGAAAATTTACGGAAGCTTTTTGATATGTTCTTCCCTTCCTCAATGCATTGTGACAGATACATAAAATATTTGCTAAGTAAGGGAACGCAAGTGCGGATATTGGGTTATAACAGAGAAAATTTTAACTCTATCGAAGAGGATAGAGTACGATACACTTCTGAAAGTGTACGGCCGACAAAACACATCTTATATGAACAGTGTCGCGCAGTGATCAAAAACCTTTTATGTAAAACAGACGATAAATTCGTGAAAGGTTATGTGATCGTTGGCAGACAAAAAAAAGACACAGTAAATTCTAAATAGATAGAAACAGTGTATAATACATATAAATCTCGTTATAACATTTAAGACACTAACTCAGAAGCAAACAATACTCAATGGTATTACGACTAACACCGTGAGACCTAAACAAATACGATCCTAAATCAAGCTGTACTGTTATTTTCAATGAATCACTTATATTTCTTAATATCAGCTATCCTATAACATTTCTATCACATTTATATTTAGAATTTTATTTTATTAGATTTTCTACAGTAAAATGTCATTTATCGACTTCACATGTTTAACTTCAATTAAGAAAACCGTCGATCAATAAATGTTTTTACGTTCAGCAATTAAATCACCTTTGTTTTAGGATTTCGATAGAAAATAAATCATTTATTGCCCCCGACAAATTACATAAGTACAAACAAATTGGCTACTCCATAAAACAGTGTTTTGTATCACTAACACATTGAGCGTATCTTTTTAAAGATAATTTATGTTGTTATAGCAATTAGACTAATATTCGGGAGTTACAAACTACGAGAGACCATAAAATTCTTATTCGCTTGCCTATAAAATCACCCAAACTTTTAGGACACAGGTGAAGTATTAAATAGCACTTTATTTTTTAGATTACGCCTCCCTTCCCCCTCTAACCTGTCCAGTATAAACTTTAGGTTTCATCTATTTATTGTGATCCGCAAACATCAATGAAATCATTACTGAATTCAAATTTAATAATCATAAAGGGACCGGACTAAAAATAATTTGTGTAGCCGGTGGTCAATTCAAAAGATACACACACTATATGAGAAATATCTAAAATAGATACTGGCGTAAAGCTGTTATATCTCCTAAGGGAAAGTGGTGGGACGTGTTCGAACATTTTTTAAATTAAATACCAATAACTTTAGAATGGCTGAACATATTTTGTCAAGCTTGGTGGAATTGTTTGTTGTTTTTAGGCTTTCAACGCTGAGCAGATTGATTTAGATTGCTTGTATCGCTGTTAGAGGCGGCTTTGCCGTATCACTATAAATAAAATGTATTTTCTCAAAAAAATTGAATACAGCGATATAACTTTTATTGATTGATAATACCAGAAAGAAATACCAATTCGCAGCAATGTAGCATGTTTGGGAATATTTAGCAAAATATATACAAATTCAGTGTTAAATTTTAAAAATTATATTTAAAATGTCAATAATAATTAATACTCATTTAGTATGATGAAACATTGCCCATCAGTCCATACAAGTGTGCTTTCTAAAACAAAATAGGAAAAATTACAATTGTGATGTTTAAGAGTCGATAATATTAACAATACATAGTGTATTTTAGTGACCTTTATCATATGGGTATTAAATATTATTGACACTTTGCTTAGATTGATTGTTTTTGAACCCTAAATTTAAATTAGCATATTGGCATTTAATAATGGTAGGCATTCTGAAAATATTCCCAAATATGGCAACATCATTTAGTTTTTCTTTCTTTTACTGATATTATAGGTTATTGTTAGCGATATAGTTGCATTAAATGTCGTTGAACGCCCTCTGGTGGCGACACAAGCAATTTACGAGTTAAAGCAAAAACTTCTACGGAAAAGAATCGCATTTGTCCCCGTTTTACAACGGTGTCCGTTTTAGCTGTGTAATATAGGATATTTTTCAAAAAGAGGAGGTTTTTCATATGTTTTTGCACCGCAACGCTTTACGGCAATTAATTGTCTAGCCAGTATTTGCGCGGCGTGCTAGATTGAGTAGTAATTTAACTTGTTTGTTATTTGTTTAATTAATTAATTACGTGCTCTAGTAGTAAGTAACTCCCAACAATTTTTTTAAGAACTCACTGAAGCCAGCTATTTTTATGTGTAAATACAGATAAAAAACAACATCTTTATTGTAAATAATTGATGACCTATTCGTTTATATTTTTATGAGACGCTATATGTCGCAATTTAACATCTCGTAAATTTAATGGAATAGATTTAACAACATACTCCTTTACAAAATTTACAGAACTAATTAGTTTTGCCGACAGTTTGCAGGATTGTGGCAATTTTTTGTAATTCTGGCTAGTAAAGAATAGAAAAGGACAACTATGTGTTCATATTTGTTGTTTATTTAATTAGTATGTATTGCTTCAGTTTTTTATAATACTCGTAATCAAGTTAATGCTTGAAGAAAAATTCGTTATTCGTATATTTGATAATGCAGCAAAACATCTTCCTTAAAATACCATTTTATGACTTTTAGGCGACTCAACTTAATACAGAGAGTTAAGGCTTTCTGGGATTATCGGGCAGATTGACATTTTAGAAAGAAAGGGTCTGTGATATTTTGCCCCATTGTCAAAATCGATGTTAGATATGAAAATTAAAAAATAAATTCTGGCGATTTTAAGATGTTGCAATTTTTGTTTAATTAACGTTCCTAAAAGTTTATGTTTAAATCAAAATGTTAAACGAAAATTAGGATAGATATTTTTGTGGTAAATTCAATTTGCAACATAAATAAGGGACGCAAAACCCAAATATGCAGAAAAAATGAATTCATGCTTAGAACAGAAGACGTTTGAAGACACCGTAGAGTCGAAAAAATTATGAAACATTTAAAATATACTTAGCACTTACTGTTTTGTAGGGTTAAATCGTCGTTTCAGTTTCATCTTTTAAAATAGTTCTAATAGGTTCCTGCGGCTACCAGAACGTTTTTGGAAATTTTGGAAAGCAGTAAATGGCATTAATATAAATTTAATATTTCAATTTTGAGGGCAGATATAAAAGTGCGAACTAAACTAATAAGTCGATTACTGCAAAGACAGGAAATTTCAGAAAAAAGCGAAAAAAGCGGGAAGATCCCTTGAACCAGTGAGTTCCGACGATGAACGCCCTAAGCAAGTTGATCGAAGTATCTATAAGGAATAGGTTTATAGAATTTAAGCTGAAAGGCCGGTTACATATGCACCACTTTGGCATTAGAAAGGGGAAACCGACCTAGATACGATCAGGGCCGCAGAAGAGAGAAAAAGTGCAATGGATAAAGAACCTAGAAAACTGGATAAGATGTGACCACCAAGGGTGTATGAGGTACGCTTTCATAAAGAGGATGTATATCAATAGCGAGACACGATAGGGCAGAGAAAATAGGACACAAAAACCATCAGATAATATAAAACATACCATGACCCTAAAAAAGGAACATTGGAAAGGGGCGTATGGAATGATCAGGGACATTATGAGCTCTAATGAGAGATGAAAGAAGCAAGGAAGTGGGTAATTTTGGACGGGTGGGTCTGAGTCTTCTACAAGGTTTCCCTTCTGTATAAAGGGTTTTTCGTCCATAAGAACTTGGTCATTCTCGGCTTTATCTTGCTTTTGTTTCGGGACTTAAGCCTAGACCTCTACAAGATTGAACTGATGTGGGAGCTCAAATCGGTGCACCAAAGGTGAACATCGCTCAAATTCATGCATGCATGCGTCCAAGGGTCTCGTTATCTAGTAAATTTAAATTAAACTTCAACAATCTCCGGTATATGGTAAACGACTAATAGTTTATTAATTTCTGAAACAAAGAATTTTGCTGGCTATAGAAACTTTCAAAAATGTTCTGCAAACTGCATGAATCTATTTCAATTACTTTAGAAGTAGTTTTGAAATTTACCTAAGTAATTTGAATTATTGCAATCCTAATACAAGGATGTTTAAAAAAAAAGATCATATAAACTTAGATCCGGAAATGGCGCGTTCAAAATAAATAAAAAAACGCTTGTGCGAACAGTGATCAGTATATTTATTTTTTAGCATTAAGCTTATTATGATCAAAGGTGCTAAGAAATAAATGTTAATAAAACATTTTGTCAATTTTTATGATTGTTGTTATTTCGCTCGGAAACGCGACAAGGTATGCAAACAACTAAACAGTCAAAAAGTTGCACATTTAGTGCCTGTTTAAAGAAAATGACAAAAACAACCGAAAAATTAGTGGTGTACATCACTTTGACAACACCATTCATTAGGACAGCTATTATTCTCAGCCGCTGGTGAAATTTGGCTAGTCCGTGAGAAATTTTTTCTAACCGCGAAAATTTAAATAGTATTGTAAGTAAATTCGTAAGTAAAATTCGTATTAACAATTATGTCTCAGGCAAAATTGATATTTTTTCGGGAGTCCCTCACATTGCCTTAAACTCCTTTATATCTCTTTGGTTCGCTCTAGACTGGAGTAGGCATCTGTGCTATGGTCCCCATATTATGCCTGCCATATAGATAACATCGAAGCCCATCTCTTCTTCGCCCTATACGTTTGCACTTATCTAAACGTCTCTCTCTCTCTCTCTCTCTCTCTCTCTCTCTCCCCTCTCTCCCCTCTCACCACTCTCTCCCCGCTCTCCCCTCTCACCTCTCTCACTCGCCCCTCTCTCCCCTCTCACTCACCCTCTCACTCTCCCCCCTCTCCCCTCTCACTCAACCCGCTCTCCCCCTCTCACCCCACTCTCTCTCCCCCCCTCTCTCTCTTTCTCTCTCTTTGAAATTAAAATGACATTTAAGATGTAACGTTTTATACCGACGAACTGTCTATCTAAAAAAAATTAATAAAAAATAAATAAATTATAATAAAAGTATTACAATTAACTTATGTAGTATTAGTTCTTTAATACCTAGCAATTTTTTTTTGTTAAAAAATATCATTGTTTCGCGAATTTTAATTTAATTTTAATTAAATTTATACATTTTAATTAATAATTGTATTAAATATAATCTACTTGAAGAAAATTGGCCATATAAATATTCAAAATCGCTATCGTGGTAACTAACCTTTCCAAAGTTTATATGAACTTTATTTTTGTAACACGACTCTCTAGTTCAGGAGTTGGAGCATGTTTTTTGAAACGATTGTGAGCGATTATTTCCACTGGTTATAAGGAGCATGTCGTTAGAATCGGCGTTGCTGTTAAAATTCAAGTACCTAATTACTAAAGCAAACAAACGCATAGTAACGCTCTTAATCATATTCTACAAAATCATGAATATTGTCGTTTTAATTTCGAAACCAGCATACTAAACAAAACCTTTTCGATCTTGTACGCCTAAGTTTTCGAGTAAAAAAGTGACGAAAACACTTAAGTGTAGAATTTCTAAGTACATACGATAAGTAACAAAAGTATGAAAGTGCTCTATAATCTACAAACAACTCGGTCGTCCACATTTTTCGGTTACCCATTGCGTGCGGTAGACAAAACAGCGTTCGTTCTCCATCGCAAGTTGCGGTAGGTTAAATGCGTTCGTCTTTCGTATCTGTTAAAAAGAAAAATATCTCACTCCCAGCATCTAAAAAAAAAAATTACCAAACTAAACCAACTCGTTACAACATAAATGGTGTTAGTCAGTGTAGTTCAATGAGGGGAGAAGCGATATTTTTCTTTTTAACATTTTATGTTATAACGAGATTGATTTTCGTTTAATGCATTCTAAACTATTCGAAAAGCGGCGACTACGAATTGCTCGAATGTGTATTACCGTTGTTCAGTTTTGGTTATTTATTTTGTATATTGACACTAAATATTAATTCATTACCTGGGTTTTCTATATATTGATTTCTTTATGATTCGGGGTTAATCGAATACATTTATCAATTTTTATTTTAATTTAATTTTTTATATACTTTATGGTAAAAAACGCGTGTCATTTCACCGCGATAATATGAGCCCTCGGGTTTTGTTTGGCCGAATTACCGCGCATAGTTTTCGCGTGTTTGCGATTGGTAACCCCCACTACATTGCTGCAATGGACATGGTGTGGAGAAAGAAAATCCGAGAGGCCTCGGGGGTCTTACACTAGAGTGCACATAAGGTAGGCCGTTTATTTTATAATTCGAGGGTTTATCCGTAGTTTTGTTTTGTTTGTGATCAAATTTTAAATTAAGAATTTATTTCGATGAACTTGTATACTATTATTCCACACGCGGCTTCTAAAAGGAAGTCTAGGAAACATTGAGTCTCTTACATATGGTCCTTCGAGCCGGATTTTTAAAGAATCAGTAATTCAAAAATAAAATTATTTTGTCTTTTCTAAATTCATTTTCTAATACTAAATTGGTAAAAATAATTTTGATTTCATTCACTATAAAGGCGTTTAAATAAGACGACCTTGAATAAATTTGACGAAGTATCGGAAAACAGGTAAAGAATTTAAATCGTTTAGAGTTTTTTGCGGTCTTGATTTTGTGTACGATATTTTGATTGTTTTTTGTTATCAATTGTGGTTTTGGTGGATTTTACGAGGTTGTTCGCATATTTTAATATAATTGAATTTAATTTCTTCTTTCTTGCCATTTTTTTTATGATATAGAAAATTTCTAAAAATATTTTTAAACCATGGCAGATTCAAAAGTAAATAGAAGAAGCGTTTTTATACAAAGATTGAAAGAAATCTACGATTTAGCTACTGCTGCTACACAGAACCCAGCTAAAATTAATGATTTTAAAATACGATATTCGGCGTTAGAATCAACATATAATGAGTTTGATAGGTTGCATTTGGACATAATTTCTGATAAAAGAGTAACGGATGTAATGCTTGAGCAGCAGGAGCTAATTCGAGCGGAAGTTGATGATCAATACTTTTCAATTAAAAGCATTTATAGTGAACTTTGTATAAAATCTGAAATATCCATGATGGTACCACCTTCGCCACCAGGCCAGAGCCATAATTTGCCGCCTTACCTAAATTTTAATCTTCCCCGTTTAGATATACCTGTTTTCTCAGGCAATTTAAAACAGTGGCCGACATTTTTTGATTTATACAGGAGTTCGGTGCATAATATGAACTTTTCCGCTTCACAAAAATTTCAATTACTGCTTACTCTCGTAACCGGAGAACCGCTCAGTTTATTGAGTAATATTCCTATAACTGATGAGAATTACGCAGTAGCCTACGATACTTTAATAAAAAGATACGACAATAAACGGCTTTTATCGACTCATTACTTCAATGAAATAATGAACATTTCCAAAATTTCAAATCCATCGAATCAAGCACTGCGTAATGTTGTTGATAAGTTTTGTGAAAATGTGGAGGCATTAAAATTATTGAACTTTCCTACTGCGGAATGGGATTTTTTGCTTTTTAATTTACTCTTAATGAAAATCGATTCTGATACCTTACAGCGATTTGAAATGGAGCACGCAAAATTTGATATACCCACTTTTGCGCAGTTGAAATTATTTCTGAATAACAGGTGTAAGGTTTTAGATACGTTGACCTATACTCAGGAAGAAAATAAATCAAAAAATGCCGGAACCATTTATAATAGTAAGTCTTTTGCCAGTAACCGTCAACATAAGTCAGGTTCTAGGAATAATGGTGATCACTCCAAAGCATTTTTTACTAATACTCCTTCTAATAACGTTCCTACATTGAATTGTGGTATCTGTAGGACCCAGCATTCCATTATAAACTGCTCCGTCTTTTTAAGTAAGACTCCTCATGAGCGCTATTTACTAGTTAAACGCAACCGTTTGTGTGTGAATTGTTTGAGTTCGTTTCACAAATTTTCGAAATGCAGTTCTAATAAGACCTGTTCTTCTTGTACGAAACGCCATCATTCTTTACTACATTTCGAGTCGGCACATGGTAATGAACGTAGTCCACCTAATGACGATGTTTTGCCCAGTGCTAATGACTCTTCCGTAGATCAACCACATTGTGGCACCACTTCCATAAATTCTAATAGTGCATTTACGCTCCTTGCGACTGCAAAAGTGGATTTTCTGGACAGCCAAGGTTATTCCCACACAGTTAGAGTACTACTGGACAGTGGAAGCTAAGGCAATTTTATATCCGAAAGATGCTTTAAGAAATTAGGACTTTCCCGCTCTCGTTTGAACATTCCAATTAATGGGTTAGGTAATATGACATCTGTATCGTCGAATGGTGTTACTTGTTGTACGGTCCGCCCGGTGGGTAAGAACACACCTTCTTTTCCCATAGAATGTATCGTTTTACCGCAGATTTGCTCCTACATGCCTTCTGTATCTTTCAGTCGCGAGAACTGGTCACATTTGTTGAATTTAGTCGTTTCTGATGACACCTACAATACTCCTGGACCTATAGATGCTCTCATCGGGTGCGAGTTATTCCCTTTAATTTTGTTGCCTGAGAAGGTGTGCGGTAAAGAGTTGGAACCTGTCGCATTCAATACATTATTTGGCTGGGTAGTGATGGGTAAAATTGATCGTATAAAAAGCAAGTCCTCATATTCCTGTTGCACACTATTGGAAGAAAACCGGGATATTAATAAAACTCTTCAAATGTTTTGGGAAATGGAGGAAGTTCCAAGTAGCAAGTCTTCATTAACCCTTGACGATCCCGCTGAAATTTCTTTTAACGAGACTCATTCTCGAACTCCTGAAGGACGTTTTATCGTTACTCTACCGTTTTCCAGTGGTGAGCCATTATTTTCTGACTCACGCTCCATAGCCCTAAAAAGGTTTTATAGCTTAGAGCGCCGTCTTCTTAAGGATCCTCCATTATTTGAGATATATTCCAAATTTATGAAGGAATACTTAGAGCTGGATCATATGGAACCCGCGTCTGCTCCTGTCTCTGACGTTGCCCAGCGCCACTTCTACATCCCTCACCATGGGGTTACTAATTCGAATAGTACGACTACTGCATTGCGCGTAGTCCTTGACGCATCTTGCAGTCCGCGGGATCGATCGTTGAATGACACTTTGTTGATTGGTCCCAAACTACAAAATGAAATTGTAAGTATTCTGTTAAGTTTTCGAAGGTTTCCTGTAGCATTTACTGCCGATATCAAAATGATGTATCGACAAATACTTGTTAATGACAGCCACCAAGACTACCAACGTATTTTATGGAGATTCTCCCCTCGAGAACCTGTTCAAGATTTTCGCCTAAAAACCGTAACCTACGGATTAAATTCAGCTCCTTTCCTTGCTCTGAGATGTCTTTTACAATTAGCCACCGAGGGTAGAGATAGATTTCCTAGGGCCGCAGCAATTTTAGCGTCCCAAGTGTATGTTGATGATATATGTGTATCTTGTAAATCTTTAGAGGATGCTGTGGATATCAAACAACAACTTATTGCTCTATTGGATGAGGGTTGTTTTTTCCTTAGAAAATGGTCTAGCAATTGTGTTGACTTCTTAGCTACTATACCTTCAGATATTCTACAGAAACCTCTCGCACTTGACACTAAATCCGATCCTTACTTGAAGGTTTTGGGTCTCAGATGGTCTCCAGAGAAGGATATCTTCTCATACGACATACAATTTCTCAACTCGACATGTACTAAGAGATCTATACTTTCTGAAATCTCCAGAATTTTTGATCCAATTGGATTACTTTGTCCCATAACTCTATTAGTTAAGCAGCTAATGCAATCTTTATGGGCGAGAGGTATCGACTGGGACAGTGAAGTGCCCGCAGATATTGCCCAAAGGTGGACCGACTACAAAAATGAATTGCCAAGTCTGTCAGCATTAGAAATACCCCGTTATTGTTTTATTTCAAAGTATGTTAGTTTAGAATTCCATGCTTTTGGGGATGCTTCAGAGCTAGGTTATGGAAGTTGTATCTATTCTCGCCTCGTGTCTCCAGATGGCCAAATTTCTACTTATCTCCTCTATGCTAAGAGTAAAGTATCTCCATTGAAGAGATTGAGTCTTCCTAAATTGGAATTAAGTGCTGCATTAATGGCTTCCAAATTGCTTAAATATGCCTTAAATGTCTACAACATTCCCGACGTACAAAATATTTATGCTTGGTCTGACTCGACTATAGTCCTAGGTTGGATAAGGTCACCGCCCTGTCGTTGGCGCACTTTCGTCTCAAACAGGGTGAGTCAGATTCAAGACAATGTAGCACCTGAACGTTGGTTTCACATCAAATCAGAAGACAATCCAGCTGACCTTGCGAGTCGCCCTGTCCTTCCGTCTGATTTAGTTGACTGTCCCTTATGGTGGGCGGGACCAGCTTGGTTGTCGCGTCCCTCCGAAGAGTGGCCCAAACACGAACTTGGTGAATTGGACGAACCACTACCAGAAGAAAGAGCGACCATTCTCACGGTAATAAAAGGCTATAATCCTGTTGGTGATATTTTGAATAGGTATTCACGCTTACAGAAAATACTTCGCCTTATTACTTATTGGCGTCGTTTTCTTGGCATTCGTTTTAAAGTGGTTTCAGTGGTTAAAAAGGGTCCTTTCACGGAGTACGAGTTATTTCAGAGTCTTCTCCGCATTGTGAAGCAAGTACAAGCAGAAGCCTTTTATGAAGACATTTCCAATCTTTCGAACAAGAGTGTTTGTTCCAAGCCGTTAAGAAAGCTTGCTCCTTTCATCGATGAACAAGGACTTCTCAGGGTAGGCGGACGCCTTACTCACTCTCAACTTGATTACGATCAGAAGCATCCCGTTTTGCTTCCCAACAAACATAGGTTGACTGATCTTATAATAGAGGATTTTCATAAAAGATACCTTCACTGTGGACAGCAGGCCTTGCGCTATTTTATATCTCAACGGTTTTGGATTTTGGGTGCTAAAGGAGCTATAAAACGTATTGTCCATAAGTGTTTCCGCTGCTTTCGAACACATCCTCAGGTAATAGAACCAAAAATGGGCGATTTGCCTAGTTTCCGCATTACCCAAGCCAAGCCCTTTCAATGTACTTCTTTGGATTTCGGTGGCCCTTTTCAGATACTGATGTCAAGACATAGAGGTTGCCGTACTCAAAAGGCTATCTCTCTTTGTGTGTTGTTCTACAAAGTGCCTGCATTTGGAACTGGTATCAGACCTATCCACTTCTGCCTTTCTTGCGTCATTGCGTCGCTTCATCAGTCGACGTGGTAGATGCTCCAAACTGCACAGTGATAACGGTACCAACTACGTTGGTACAGCTCGATACTTAGCAGATTGCATGGCTAAAGCAGCCGCTGAGGAATTAATCGAGTGGCAATTTTTCCCTCCTTCAGCGCCTCACTTTGGTGGGTTACACGAAGCTGGCATTAAAAGCGTCAAAACCCACATTACTAAAATCATAGGGGAACAATTACTTACCTATGAAGAATTTTACACAGTTCTCACTCAAGTTGAGGCCGTACTCAACTCTAGACCACTTTGCGCTATGAGTAGTGATCCCAACGATCTATCCAGTTTAACACCAGGTCATTTTCTCTCCTTAGCTCCTTTATCAGCTATTCCCGATCACGACCTCACTTGTGTTCCTATGAATAGACTTGATAGGTGGCAGTTACTGACCAAAATGCATCAATCATTTTGGAAAAGATGGCATATGGAATATCTTCATTCTTTACAACAGAGAGCTAAATGGGATAAAGATACCACTCTTATCACGCCGGGTACTCTAGTTGTACTGAAGGAGGATAATTTACCTCCCCTCCAGTGGAGACTGGGACGGATTGATTCCATTCACCCTGGTGCTGACGGTGTTCCACGAGTAGTCACTGTCAGAACCCAAAACGGTTTAATCAAACGACCGGTTATTAAGGTATGTCCTCTGCCGGCCAATTAATCACAATTGATAAACTTTAATATTAGCATATTTTGTTTATTTTCTTTTTTTTTTTTTGTTGTTTTTTGAAATACCGTTGTATTTGGTGGGCGGTATGTTCAGTTTTGGTTATTTATTTTGTATATTGACACTAAATATTAATTCATTACCTGGGTTTTCTATATATTGATTTCTTTATGATTCGGGGTTAATCGAATACATTTATCAATTTTTATTTTAATTTAATTTTTTATATACTTTATGGTAAAAAACGCGTGTCATTTCACCGCGATAATATGAGCCCTCGGGTTTTGTTTGGCCGAATTACCGCGCATAGTTTTCGCGTGTTTGCGATTGGTAACCCCCACTACATTGCTGCAATGGACATGGTGTGGAGAAAGAAAATCCGAAAGGCCTCGGGGGTCTTACACTAGAGTGCACATAAGGTAGGCCGTTTATTTTATAATTCGAGGGTTTATCCGTAGTTTTGTTTTGTTTGTGATCAAATTTTAAATTAAGAATTTATTTCGATGAACTTGTATACTATTATTCCACACGCGGCTTCTAAAAGGAAGTCTAGGAAACATTGAGTCTCTTACAACCGTTAAAGTGCGGAAATCCATTGCAGGTACAGTGAAAACTCCCTATAGCGAAACTCTGTATAACGAACAAAATTTGTTGTACTGTTAGGTCTCCATACAAAGCTATGTATTAATCCACTCTGTATAACGAATTTCTCACTCTCTATACCGAAAGAAAAAAGGACACATCAGGTAACAAAGTAAGGAATGTAGGCCGACTTGTAATTAATAGTCTCTTACCTTCTCAGAATTCCTAATAAAACAAAATTATCTCTAGTTGATAAAGTTGCTTTAATTCGGGAGATAGAACGGGGAGAAAAGAAAAGTGATGCGGGACGTCGATACGGACTTACACCGTCGACTGTATTCACGATTTGGAAGTGCAAAGAAAAAATCATTCAGACTGAAGCGTCAAACTAGTAAAAAACTAACAAACCCAAAATTTGAAGATTTGGATGGGGCAATGTTGGTTCCAACAGAGAAAAAAGGAAGCTAATCGTGATTGGAAAATCAACTAACCCACGATGTATTAAGAACATCAAGTATTTGCCGGTCACTTACAAGGCACACAAGTCTGCATGGATGACATCGCAATTTTTTTTTTTAAGTTTTAATTTTAATTAAAGGGGAGGAAAATATAACTTGTATTAGATAACTGCCCTGCACATCCCCATATTCCAAATTTAAGGAATATTGAAATGGCCAAAACAACAAGTGTATTACAGCCGATGGAGCAGAGCGTAATAAAAAGTCTTAAGGGTCGAGACAGGAAAAACATTTTAATGGAAATGATCGAGCCCGAAGACAAATTTTCCATTAATCAACTTTATTAGTAAAGCTTGGAAAGAGGTGACAGCAGAAACAATTCAACACTCCTATCGTCATGCAGGACTTATTACCATTACCGAAACAGAATGAGAACTGAACTTGGAAGATATGATCAGCAACTAGGCGAGTGCATAAAGCAGTTTTAATGGTGATATATCAGGATTTGCTTACAATAGCAGACTTGACAGAGGAAGCCATTTTACAACAAGCAAGAAAGGGTGAGGAAGAGCACCCAGAAGAAGATGAAGACGAAGAAGTTGATCTGGGACCACCACCAACAATTCAACAAGCCCTATATTCAGTTAAGCTGCTAGAGAAATTTGGAAGAAATGGTGAAAATACAAGCCAAAGTACGAGATGCGTATTGGCATACTAAAAAAATTCGAAAGAAAATGTACTTTAAAAATAGCTCTTTGATACAGTAGCTACGTTTACGTGCCCTTGAATTAATATAATTTTTCGATAATTAATAAATTGTTAGTGTACATTCCATTTGTATATATTATACAAGGTGAATAGAAAAGTTGAGACTTTCATTGTCTATTAAATTTTGTTTAAAAAGTCACTTATTTATAAACGTTTCAACTTTTGATATATTCAATAGAATATGTCAAAAGTTGAAACGTTGAAACTTTTCTGTATCTCATTATCCTCATTATTTTGTAAACAAAGACGGCATAAAAGCAGCAACAAAATGTCTGGTCTTAAAATTTTGTTTAATTTTCTCTCTTTTGTGTATTTTGGATAAGAATTGTGGTGTGTAGATGCGTCTTAACGAGGAAGAGTGATACGTGGATCATTTAAAAGGTAAAAAAGTCTTAGTGTGCGTGTATCCCATTAACAATACTATTTTAAACTAGTTGAAGCACAATTAGCCATTTACTCTTATATACAATGTTGGAATATTTCAACAGGATCGGACAAAAAATATTTGAATGCTTAATGGGACACAGATTTTTATTTACAAAATGCTCACGAAAAGTGTAATCTAATAAGATTATACACACCAAGGTTCAACAAAACATGCGAAGAAGTAAAAATTTTGGATACCGGGCAAAAAAATCAAAAATACTCGAAGAAGAAGTCCCAGTATTTTCTCGCAAAGAATCTGTCAATCGTTTCGACTCACCCTTTTTAATATAATTAAATTATATACAGGTTGGCGCAATACTAAAATACAAATACAATAATAACAGAAATAAATAAATGAAACTGTAATATCTCCCTTATTTGGTACAATTTTCCAATATTGTTTTAACGAGTGTTTCTTTAAAACAGCGAACAATACAAAAATATATTTCGGCGTATTATAATTCCTCCAGGCAATGTTTTTAAATTTCCCCCAAAACATGCTTTCTTCTTCACTCCTAGCAATTATTCCATACAATTAACTTGAAGAAATTTAAATTAAGTTTTCTCTGATTTATTAAATGGAACACGCTGTATTTAACTTTTTAATAGTTTTTAGCTATTGCCCCTCTACCACTTTTGTTCAAGTTTTTCCGCAATATTAGTTTTATAAAAATACGTGAATTTATCGCTATTTAGTGAGCCCTGAATGCAAAATAAAAGTGTTATAAACTGACATAATCAATGTAGTAACCTGCTTTCATAAAAATACTTTTTTTTGCTATCATTCCAAAATTGAAAATTTGATTAAATGCTTAGAATAGAAATAGCACATAAACTTAAAATACTTACTCAAAGTATTTCTTAGAAATTTGAAATATTAGTAACACATTGCACTATATTAAAATAGTTTTCCAGGGAAACGTGTTTTTTTTTTCTGTTTTTCGCAATAAAATTTCAACGCCGTATTAAAACTGAAAAACATTACCTGGAGGAATTATAATATAGAAAAATATATACGGGGTTGCGTTAAAAAAATGTATGTATTTAACGAATTTTTTCTAAACAAGATATTTTATTTTGTCACACTATTGCGTCAAACCTGTCATTTTGATATGTCGGCATTTAATCCTCTCTCGCCTGTGACTCGTCTTTAAATTTCACACTCGTGAGCAACGAGTCTTATTCAAAGATTCCTCACTAGTGACTGTCAAATCAAACTCGTAATCAACGGAAAAGATTTCTTGAAGTAGTGTAAAAAAAAATGGTAGGGTAAAAAGTGCAGAAAGTATAAAATTTATGCACGTCCGTGGAAAAAACTCATTTTGTATCACCCTAGTTATTCCTATTTTCAAACTTTAGCGATAACACACATTCATTTTATAATAAATGACATATTTATTTTCGTCGAAATTGCATTGTTATTTACAAAATGTTGAGCAGGTTTAAAATGGATCGAATTTCGTTGTGAAAAAGAACAATTTTCAAGATTAGTCCACTGAAACTTAGGCCTTTTCAACATTTTTTAAGCACCACTAAAATATTAAACATATCAGGTTATTAGCTTATAACACAAACAAATCTCTAAAAGTGATACACATCCTGAAACCATTCCCTGAGTACTCAGTTGAATGTTGCCAATTCGATAGACGCTTCCAATTTATTCTAATAGGAGACTAATTAAAAATACGTTTCAATGTAATAGATTATTTTCATTTTACTGAATTAGAATTTAATGAAACATATTTATTTTGAACTAAAAACTTGGTTGAGGTTTTTCGTATTATCTCTATTTAGATATGCTTGAAAATTCTACACCTACAAAGAGATGCTTAAATTTAAGCCTTGCTGAAGGAGCAATATTCTAAAGTTTCTTTGATAATTCAAATTTCGGATCTTTGGTTCCGAAGCTATAACTCATATAGCTATTAATTAAATTTGATGAGTCTAAGGTGGCTGTGATATTTTCGTAGGGATGGCAATGATCTTCCGCGCACTATCACACACTTCTCTGATTTATTAGTGGGATCAGATGACGATCTGTCAGCGGCCATGTTGGTAGTTGAATGCCGCAAACGCAT